AAACTTATTAGGAATAAAAAAAACATCAAAAACAGATTGATTTGTTGTTAGTAAAATCTGTGAAACTCTTTGCAGTCTTGCAGTGTTAATTGTTACCTCAACTAATATGTTATGACAGGGGTTTTTTTTACAAATTATTATAGGAGTATATTAAATAGTCAAATAGTTTTTCTTACTTTCCAATATTGGCTTTAGAAGCCAAACATTCTGTGCATACTTCATCAAAAGCTCCATTCCAGTGTTTCAAACAAGCCTACAATAAAGCAAAACTTACTAAGACTGAGAAAATGCATTAGGGGAAGATAAATCATTTTACCCGTTTTGCTGCACAAAAGATGCAAAATTCAACATCAACTCCACGGCCACCCAATACGAAGTTGGAGTCTTTCTTCTTTACCATTAACATGAGCATAGCCTTATAATCAATGGTCACTGTCAATGATAAAATAATACATATTTACATAATAATACATACAAATAAATAATACATACATTTACATAATTATCACAACAATTTCAAAAATTACCTTTGAACTTTATTTTAWACATTCTACCATCAACATAGAGACCCTCTTGCTTAATTGTGTTCTTTTCTTTGTTCACCCTTTGAATTAAACTTGTCACTTCTTCCCTAATAGAGAAAAAAAAAGTAGTATGAACACCATGTATGGTAAGAGTCAATTACTGTAATTAGAGTACATAAGTATAAATGAAAATATCCGAGCACAACAAGAGTAATTATTAAACTCATTCATTATTAACCCATGTATTTCTCAATCAGAAAGTGGGTGGTTTGAATGTGCATATTCTTGATTTGTTGCAAAAGCATTWTAAAGCAAGTACCTCTTTTCTTGACAGTTAGCAATTGCTAGTGGATAAACAGAAAGAGCACTTTGGCCACTGTCAGCACCATGGCTTGATATGGGCACTATTCCAACAGAAACTTGTTCTYGTCCTTATTAATAAATAAATGAATTTCTACACTAGCACCTTACTTGAGTGAGAAATGTTCAAGTTTTGTCATAAAGTTTGCATGTCTAGCTTCTGTTTCAAAGGGAAAATGCTACTATTAGTATGTGAGAATGATCACTTCTGATTGACTAATAATGTTCCGTTGCATCATTTTTTTTGGAAGTGATTGATCATTCTCATGTGCTATTGTAGTGGTTTCCMTAGACGTTAGACATACAAACTTATTAACTGAATTTGAACTGAATTATATGACAATTAACAACAACATAATTGAATTAAATAAGAGTCATTGCCAGTTAATACACCCATCAATGTTAATYCCAAGGAGGGGGTGGGGTCAGCCATGGGGTGGGGATTTTGACATTTCCAAAAAAAAACACTTCAAATTCCCTACACCTRATCAAAAAATAATTGTCAAAAGCATCAAAATCCCCCACTCACAGGGTAGRTGAACATGACAAATATGTCAAAACTCCCCAACCTGGGGACATAATGAACCATTAAAATCCCCACBCTGGGGGCAAAGCTTGTAGTCGAATTCCTGTGGTTAGCCTGATTCCCCCCCAGGCTTGATATTGATAGATCCATTAAGAAAATTTGTATGCACAGTACCTGCCAGAGGTCTTCCATCAAGCTTAAGATTGAATTCAAGGGTGTCTGCATGTTCAGDACCTTGGTGTAGCCTTGATTCCCTTATAGCCCAAGCTAGAACCATTGGAAGACTTACACCATACCCTCTCAGCTCCTTAGGGACTACAGGCTGGATATCAAATGTAGTTTTTACTACATCGAACACAAGCTCTTTCTGGGCTTTCATCTCATTGCTGGTTAGCAAGATGCCTGCATCAATATTTTTCTGTTAAAGAAATAAATGAACAATTCAATCCTATGAAAAGATATACTAAACCATCTTCAACAATATATTGCATTCCAAGTGAATAAACTAAAACCTAAAAGTAAAGAAATATACATTACTCTTATAATATATCACAAACAAAACATATTGACATACCCCACTTCGACCAAGATTGAGAAAGTTTAAGACACTTTGCCATGACTTGTCTGGTAATTTAGTGGTTAACTTTACATAAAGTTGTAACCAATCTGGTACCCTCATAGCGTTGACGAACTGAGAGTGAATATCACTATCGACTATACTTGTGAAAGCATTCTTTATCCCTTGTTTTTTACCAACARCAGCRATCGCAGAAGAAACCACTTCTCTTGCAAATGATTTGTCTTCTTCAGCTGAATACAAAAAGCTGTACCCCAAACTTTTTCCAATACAGGCGGCATTATTTGTAGTCATACTCTTCATATTGTTGATGATGGCTTTTGAGGCAGTTTTTGCTTGCTTGATGCTTATTCGAGGCCCAACCACATTGAAGTCCAACTGCTCGATAACTTCGCATTGTTGCGATATGTCTTTTAGCTTTGGACGATCTGTAAGCCTTGTTGGTTCTTYTGGAGTGGAAGGGGGAGTTTCGTAGATGGGATTTCTAACAGGACTCTCGAACATAGTTTTTCCCGCCTCAGGACTTTGATCAAGATGGCTTCCCGCCATTTTTCCATGAAGAGAGATCGCGTTAATCATTTCTTTCAGAAGCAAGAATTCAGAAGACTTGAAGAACGTAGATTCACCAGGCTTTTTCCGTCTCATGTCTCTCCCAAGAATTCCAAACAAAGTAGCGACAACCACCGAGTCTTTCTTTCTGGCAGAGCCAAACCATTCTAGAGGAACTCGTCTTCCCTCGCTGCATGTTAGTTCTCTTATACGGACTTCGACTATGTCCTCGGATAATAGCTCATACCAGTCGCTAATCATAAAYTCTCTTATCCTGTAGCACCAGTCGCTTGACAAGGCATACCATTTCTTCAAGGGATTGAGAGAACGTCCGAWAACCTGGTTCAATTGCAGTGGACCTGGCGGTGATCGTTCTGCCGCCATGTCCACTGCTTAGAATTATTTGACTTTCGCGCGAAATCCATTTGTTTATATACGTATATTCCGTTAACCATTAACTTTTTCGTTTTCATTGTGTTTCTTATGTTCCTAAAACTTGTCGATGACATACAAAATACAGCACTGTACGAAAGTATTGACATCAACAACTGAAGACTTAATTGCATTATATACCATAGTATTGTTAACCGCTGATTGATGAGCCTGCTCCCGCTGTGCATTTCAAAGTTGAGTAAAGCTCGTCGTGTTTCAATGAGATTTCTTTTCCTTGTTTCTGCATGCAATAATAGCCCAAGATACACTATAAGTGGAGGTTCTTTCTCGCGTTTATGGTACATACTGTTTGCCGTTGCACTGTGATTCTTGCAGGAACTGTTAAAGAATAACARCTGAGAGCAACTAAGAGCAGCTTGACTTTCATTTATACTTGAGCTATGATTAGTGCCAGAGAGAATCATGGACACTGTTCTTATCARTGACTGCGGCAAAGAGTTTTGTTGGCAGTTTTCTTCAAATGTCCCATTAAACTCAGAGAGTTTATGATTTAGAATATCTTTACGAATGATTTCAGCGGCCTTAGCAAGAATGACGGCCTCGTCATCATAGTTTCTGGATTTGCTTGCTTGTTGTAAAACACGGGCAATGTCTTTGTCAAAAGCCAGAAAAAYATCTCTTCCTTCTTTATGCGATTGTAGATCAGGAATTTGATAAAGAATTCTGTTTTTTAAATGTGTTGAATGAATTCTGGTACCACTTGCAATTACCTTCTAGATAAGAAACCAATTCAGCCAAAGCAAGTCCACGGAGGATATTCTCAGGAGTATCAGTTTGTTCACAATAAGAATTATTTACACTATTGGCCCTTTTGTATAAAGGGGCTAGACATTTTGAATGATATACAGCATCTTGAGCTATCATATCCCCATTGCTAAGTTTTGATAAAAGCTTGTTATCCTGAAGAAGTGAAGCGCACTTACAAACACGACGATCAAGTTCAAACGTTGACGCTCTGTGTAAGTCTCCAGTGCATTCATCACAAAAAAAGCACTTGGCCACACAGGTTTCACTTTTACCAAGTACACATGATTCGYGGCGGCGTTTAACTGGACTGTAGGGGTGTTCCACGTGGTCACTGGTGGTATTAGCTTGATCATGTTTTCGTTTTACTGCTCGTCTTTCTTCTCGCTGCAGTTTTGTGTTATTAAACGAATCCTTGCATCCTTTGTGCCACTTGGCTTGATTATCCTTCAGCTTCTGTTCAAGACTTTCATTGATTGGAAGCTTGAATTTTGTGGGAGGGCATCCAAGCTCATTAAACCGGATGAGGTTGCGTGCAAATGTTGCATATCCAACACCACTATCAGTTCTTTTGCTTTGAGCTGGACATTGTAGAGGTTCAGTCGATACCTTAATAGTGCAAGAAGAAGTRAACGAGAAAATAATAATGCCTTCTCTATTTATTTTAAGCTATACATTACAAGCATATGCATGCATTTATACATTCGACTGAAGTAGCCATACCTTTTGACAGACAATGCATCTCGTCCAATCTATACTGTCTACTGTTGCCTCACACATCCATCAAAAGTTAGTATATCAGTATATCTACCAGTATATCTACCATGTCTTGATCGTCATTACCACCATGTTTACCAATCTTCTCTTCGATGGCAGCGAAGATAGCTTCAAAGTCATTCAATAACAAATGATAACTCTCCTGACTGATTTCGACTAGCTTCGAAGCAAATCGTTCTAGCAAATCATGAGAGTCACTGGTTGTTATTAAACACTTGGGACTAGTAAAACCAGGAACATTGGAGCACAAACTTACACTCAGCGGGATGTGCTTGTTTCCCAGGTCAGTTTCTCAGTGTTCTGCGGCAAATGTTCTTGGTTAAAGAGACATTCAAAGTCTTAAGTGGCGAAATATGTGAACTACTGCATCTCTTCAGGGATATGCATACCTTGGAATCAACGAGTAAAATAGGACTTGCGAAATCTAAGAGAAAAAAAAATTCTCTGAGTTTTATAAACTTAACCTTTTTTATAAAATGTTTCGAAAATATAATAACAAGATACTATTTATTACAGTTAGGGTTATTCAAGGGGGAAACTAAAAAATATTTGTTTTTTTCGCAATGTTTTGACTTTTTTAAAAATGAATTACTAACTTTTCAAAGTAATGCTTGGTGTCCTGCTCCAGATTTTTCAAGTGGCAGCCAATATGGACGGCTAAACACACCTAAAGTGAGGACGACCAGTATTCTTGTAGCATTCCAAACCCATGATGGCCTTGTTGTTCAAAATGTAGGGTGGTAGTAGAATAGAACGACCAATCAGATGGTCCCTTAGCTTGGTCACATAGAATGTGGCATTCGTAACCCAGCTGACCACCCATTTGGTCGTTCGATGTTCTTTGTATTCAATGAAACCATTTCCATGTCGGAATGACGTATCGCCTATCTCTTGGCGATGACAACCTTTTCTGAATTAGTTGTATAAGCCATTGACCTAATCCCAAAGCTCTTCAAACATAATCTCTTCCGTCATCTCATAGCATCTTTGTTTTACATCATCATCATCATCTTCTTCTTCTTCTTCTTCTTCTTTTTCCCCTTCTTCTACATAATAACCTTCCTCAACTACTTCTTCCGAATATACTTTTTCACTACTTTGCTTTCTAAGCAAGCCGTTGTGGGTGCGTTCCTCATCTGCACCCATTTGGTTGTTCGATGTTCTTTGTATTCAACGAAACCATTTCCATGTCAGAATGACGTATTGCCTATCTCCTTTGGCGATGACAACCTTTTTTGAATTAGTTGTATAAGCCATTGACCTAATCCCAAAGCTCTTCAAACATAATCTCTTCCGTCATCTCATAGCGTCTTTGTTTTACATCATCATCATCTTCTTCTTCTTTTTCTCCTTCTTCTACATAATAACCTTCCTCAACTACTTCTTCCGAATATACTTTTTCACTACTTTGCTTTCTAAGCAAGCCGTTGTGGATGCGTTCCTCATCTGCGGGGTACGCAGCTACTAAGCGTTTATCCCATATGATGAACTGCAACGACTTGTCCGTTTTCTTTCCAGTAAACATATTTACACCGATGGGTCTATCCATTACTTTTCTCAAAATGCACGTTAAGCCCTGGTAATAAATTGCGTCTAATTTTCCTCTTTCTTGTACTTCCTTTATCGTACCTTTTCCTAAATTGAAGACTTCCTCTCGTTGTAAGATAAATCTTTACTTTCCTGCCCTTTGCGCTTTGGGTTCCTCGTCCAAAATGACTGTGCGCAAACCCACCATTGTGAAATCTGCTGCAAATCGTTAGAGCGTTCTGACCATCTCAAGAGGCACCAGAATATTCTATCTGTGGGAAGACGTTTAATGATAAGATAAAGAAAAGACACACCAACGTCATGAAGTGGAAAGCGAATTTTCTTTTGGCAAGTGCGATGAAAAATTCAACAATGTGAATTCATTGAAAGTCCACGTAGAAGCCATACATCCCAAACTCTCCACTAGTGGAACCAAGAGGAAAACTGATTCACCACAGAAAACCTCAAACAAGAGACAGAAAAAGGATAAAAATGCTACTGAAGGTATTTATTCCTCATAGTTTAATACGACCAGCTGTTCTTCATTAATCTTTTGTTGTGGTTCTAAAAAAAACTTTTTCTCCGTTTCTTTTTGAGGTATTAGCGAACCACAGCAAACAACTAATTGGCCCGCTGACCCACCCACCATGCTGCCTACTGTGGTGTTGAATGCCGAAGAAGCTACGCAAGACATCTTTCATATTAACTGGCGCCAAATTAGAAAGAGATTCAGTAGGGGAAATAAAGTCCAGGACTGGTATAACTTCAGGATTGAGACTCAACAATACGAATGATCTGGTCCAGCAAGTCAGCCGCATCTTCCAAGCTCAGACCACCGTGTTCTGGTTGAATGTCTCTTTTGGATTCATTCTCCGAATCAATGAGACCGGTGAATTGCAGTATTACCATCCAAGCCACAGCAATACCTGACACATTGAAGAACTGTTCCTCATATCCAATGCTCAGGATTTACAACCAAGTGTACGAAACTTTGAGAAACCTGGACATCTTGTCATTCCAGCTATTCTAGGCTCTTGGAATGCCATATATCTTATTGCTTTTCACCCATCGCCTATCGCCTATCGCGAGGACAACGTTTCTTGAATTAGATGTATGCTTAACAAAGAACGGTTCTTTTAAGAACCACCCAATTTACAAAAGTCATGATGCTACATGCTTTGATATATGACTAAATGAATAATAAAAGTTTTAAAAACTTACGGTTTTTTCTTCCTCGTAATCCGGGAATGCACTTCGTAATCCGGGAAAAAGCTTCTTCGTCAAAGCTAATATTAACCAAAAGTTGGCTTTAGCGAGAAATACATCCATCAGGTATATCAACGAAGTTGTCCAAATCAAATGAGTTTTGTTCAATGAGGCTGAGCTCAACAAGCTGAGATGCAGTCCATTCACCAAACTATATAACGAAGAGAAAAACAAGCATTTAATTTTGAGCATAAAGTATTTGACTTTTAACATTCAAAATATTTGAAAAAAGGAATAGTATCGACAAGAATACTTACCAAAGCATTGAAGTCCATATTTTCAGAATCAAAATAGAATTCAGCCATGAAGAGAGAAAAAATCCAATAAAGTTGAAATAACTAGCTAGTTCACTGATGAAGGTGGAATAAAAATTCAAAATCCGTGCGCTCTATAAATTGGATTGGTAAACAAAAGACTTGTCCAAACCTGTCAATCAATACGAAAACTCTGCTCGTCTTTTTATGGTATCGGGTTAATAAACAGTGGATGTGCGCATCACTGGCCCAACTTTCCCGAAACAAAGACTCCTTCATATCGGTTAACAATAGTCTTATAACGTCAGTTGGTCATCAAGGTAACCTGAAACAATACTCTCCCCATCGTTATATGCTAATATTTGATGGGTAATTAATGTCCCTGTCCTTCCCCTTCCCCGTCCAAAATCCGGCCCGTATACTACTAGTTCTTCAGTTTGTAAAGTACCCAGAGCTATGAACGTTAGTGGAACTAAAATCCAACCAAGAGTGTATTTGGAAATGTGTCGGGAAGCAAGAGGTTCATTAGAAAACACCACTGTTGTAACAGAGAAAGAAGAGATAGACGTAACCAAAAGTGTAGCAACACTATTCGGGGATTTGATGTTAGATGTTAGAA